GAACATAATAGATGCTCAGTCAATTAATTATTAATAAATAAACCAAAGAATCTTTGGTTTTTATATCAAAAGCATAGCTGCTCAATGGAAGACATTTTGACAGTTTAAAGGCATGATTGACTAGGCTTTACTATATAATAAAAGGGTATAAAGCACAGAGGAATAAACACATTGACACCTTAAAGGGTGAATTTCTGGGGTAATTTCAGGGCAGAAGGGACTTTTGACAAGGACAATGATGCAAAAGAGATTCATGCCAGCAGGGGTGGGAGAGGATAGTGAAGATTAAAAGAAGAAAGGCACTTACATTTCATTCTTTCTGATGGCGTTGCTCTGGGAAGACTACTTCCATTTAACAGCATTGCGGCATCATCTACATATCATAAAATTAACCCATTTAAAATGTACAGTTCAGGCCGGCCCGTAGCTCACTCGGGAGAGTGTGGTGCTGATAACACCAAGGCCACGGGTTCGGATCCCATATAGGGATGGCCGGTTTGCTCACTGGCTGAGCGTGGTGCTGACAACACCAAGCCAAGGGTTAAGATCCCCTTACCGGTCATCTTTTTAAAAATATATAAATAAATAAATAAATAAAATGTACAATTCATACCTCGTTGATCCTGCAAGTAAAAAAAAAAAAGTACAATTCAGTGGTTTTTAGTTTATTCATAGAGTTGTGCAACCATCGCTACAATCTAATTTTGGAACATTTTCATCACCCCAGAAAAAAACCCTGTACCTATTAGGAAAGAAAACCTGTACCCCATTTTGCCCAGCCTTCAAATGAGTTTAGACTAGGGACCAATCTACTCTTTGTCTCTGGATTTCCTTATACTGGACATTTCCTATAAATACAATCGTACAATATGTGGCCTTTTGTGTCTGGCTTCTTTCACTTAGCATTATGTTTTCAAAGTTCATCAGCACTTCCTTCCTTTTTTTATTCCAGCACTTTATTGAGATAAAATTTACCTAATTATGTATATATTCATGTGACCTCCACCAAGATTAAGATATAAAACATTTTCATCACCCCAGAGAATTCCTTTTTTTTTTTCTTTGCCCTCTGGCAGCTGGCTAGCACTCCTCATGCACTTTTTAAAAATTTCTTTGGTAAAATACACGTAACATAAAATTTACCATCTTAACCATTTTAAGTGTACAGTCAATAGTGATAAGAATATTGACATTGCTATGCAAGCAATCTTCAGAATTTTTTCATCTTGCAAAACTGAAACTCTGTACCCATTCTCCATCCCCCCAGCCCCTGGCACTCACCATTCTGCTTTCTGTCTCTATGAATTTGATGACTGTAGTGACCTCCTATAAGTGGAATCGTACAGTGCTTGTCCTTTTGTGACTGGTTTATTTCACTCAGCATAACGTCCTCAAGATTCGTCCATGTTGTGGTCAGAATTTCCTTCATTTATAAGGTTGAATATTATTCCATTGTATGAATATGCCACAATTTTTGTGTGGATTCATCTGTTGATGAGATGAACATTTGGGTTGCTTTCACCTTCTGGCCCTTGTGAATAGTGCCACTATGAACATGGGTGCACAGATATCTCTTTGAGATCCTATTTTTAATTCTTTTGGGTATACACCCAGAAGTAGTATTGCTGGATCATATATTAATTCTATTTTTAATACTTTGAGGAAACTCCATACTGTTTTCCACAGCAGCTACACCATTTTACATTCCCACCAGCAGTGCACAAGGGTTACATTTTCTCCACATCCTCGCCAACACTTACTATTTTGGTTTTTTGACAATAGTCATCCTAATATAGCAGGTGATATCTCACTGTGGTTTTGATTAGCATTTCCCTAGTGATTAGTGATACTGAGCATTTTTCATATGGTTGTTGGTTATTTGTATATCTTTTTCTTTCTTTCTTTCTTTTTTTTTTTTTTTTTTGTCCTTTTTGAGACCGGCTGCACCACGCTCAGCCAGTGAGTGCTGTGAGTGCACCGGTCATCCCTATATAGGATCCAAACCCACGGCGGGAGCACTGCTGCGCTCCCAGCACCGCACTCTCCCGAGTGCGCCACGGGCTCGGCCCTGTATATCTTTTTCTGAGAAATGTCTATTCAAGTCCTTTGCCCATCTTTTAATTGTTTTTGTTGTTGTGTTAATAGAAGTTTTTACATATTCTGGATATTAACCTCATATCAGACATGATTTGCAAATATTTTCTCCTGTTCTGTAGGTTGCTTTCTCATTATGTTGATCGTGTGCTTTGATGCAGTTTTAAATTTTGATATTGTCCAATTTATATATTTTTTTCTTTTGTTGCCTATGCTTTTGTTGTCTGTACTAGTCCATTTGCATTGCTTATAACAAAATACATGGGACTGGGTGATTTATAAAGAAAAATGAAATTTATTGCTTGCAGTTTCTGAGGCTGGGAAGTCCAAAGTCCATCTGGTGGTGGTGACAGTGACCCAGGGGTCTTACGTTACAAGATGGTGGAAGCAAAGAGAGCACAGAGAGAGAGACAGACTCTCCTCTTCTTTTAAAGCCCTCAGAACCATGCACCTGACCACCATTTTTAACCCATTCACTACTGCATGGTTCTACAATCCAGTCACCTCTTCAAGGCTCCACCTTTCAATTATCATAATAGGATATCCTACCCCCTTAACAGTCACAGTGAAGGCTAAATTTCTAATACATAAAACTTGGGGGACATAATTCAAGCTTCAATGAGTTTTGGGGGGACAGAATTCAATCCACTACAGTGTCATATTCCAGAAATCATTGCCAAATTCAATGTCATGAGCTTTTCCCGTATGTTTTCTTGTAAGAATTTTATAGTTTAGATCTTACATTTAGGTCTTTGACCCATTTTAAGTTAATTTCTACTTGATATAAGGTAAGGGTCCAACTTCATTCTCTTGTATGTGGATATCTAGTTTTCCCAACGTTGTTTGTTGAAAAGACTGTCCTCCATTTGCAGTGGATTGAATTATGTCCCCCCAAAACTCAATGAAGCTTGAACTGTGGCCCCCAAGTTTTATGTATTAGAAACTTAGCCCCCACTGTGACTGTTAAGGGGGTGGGAAATTCTATTATGTTACCATAATAGAATTTGGAAGGTGGAGCCTTGAAGAGGTGATTGGATTGTAGGACTGTACAGCGGTGAATGGATTAAAAATGGTGGTCAGGGGTTTGTTTCTGAGGGCTTTAAAAGAGGAGTGTCTGGGCCGGCCCGTGGCTCACTCGGGAGAGTGCGGTGCTGATAACACTAAGGCTGCGGGTTCGGTTCCTATATAGGGATGGCCGGTTCGCTCCCTGGCTGAGCGTGGTGCTGACAACACCAAGTCAAGGGTTAAGATCCCCTTACCGGTCATCTTTAAAAAAAAAAAAAGAGGAGTGTCTGTCTTTCTCTCTGTGCTCTCTTTGCTTCCACCATCTTGCAATGTGAGACCCCTGAGTCACTGTCACCACCACCAGATGGAGTTTGGATTTCCCAGCCTCAGAAACTGTGAGCAATAAATTTCATTTTCTTTATAAATCACCCAGTTCCAGGTATTATGTTATAAGCAACACAAATGGACTAATACACCATTGAATGATCTTGGAACCCATATGGAAAATTATTTATTTGGATCCCCGTATCAGCCAGCCACCAAAAAAAAAAAGAAAAAAAGAGATTATTTGACTACATATGCAAGAGTTTAATCTATGAGCCCTCTATTCTGTTTCTCCATTCCTTTATGGCTGAATAATATTCCATTGTATGAATATACCATATTTTATTTATAGGAAGCCTAATATTTTATCTCAGTATTTAATCACTTAATGTTGTCCCTTCTATGATTTATGAAATACTGAGCCTTTGTCCAGGATGTTCTATTTGATTATTAGAACATTGTCCTCTCTGAAAATAGTGTGTTTTGTTTATTTGTGTTGCTTATTGTTTGTTTAATCCTTGTACATTCTCCATTGTAATTCTAGAATCTCAGTGTGGAGAAAATTGGGTACATCTACCACAAAGACAAGCTCGGTTGCTGAGCTTTCTACCTAAGAATATTACAAACCACTAATCAAACCTAAAATAACTCAAGTTTTGTAACCCACACTGCTAATATTATCAGTCATACTAATATTATCAGTGTATGTGTAGAATGGTTTCTAGTTTTCAAAGCAGACAGTGATTTTTGTCTTATTACTACACCTATTCCCATACATGTAGCAAAGTGTCTCGCACACAAGCATTTCCTCCATAATGCTTGAGGAAGGAAAGAATGGAGGGTCGCAGCTAACATTTATTTAAGGGTTTCCTACATGGTTGATTTGTCACATGCATTACCCCATGATCTCATATATTCCTCCCTGCAACTTACCACGCAGGTCTTATTATTGCCCACATTTTACAGAGATGGAAACTGAGGCTGGGAAGAGCTAAGTAACTTAACGAGGTTACAACACTGGTTACGTAGAAGAGCCGAGGAATCTGCAAAGTGAGTAGGGCTGGGAGTTTCTATTTTGTCAGAGCGAAGTCAGATGCCTCAGGTCCTGGTGACAATCGGCCTGGGAACTCTGCGGAACCCCAGGCCTCCGGACTCTGTCGCGCTGCAAACAACAGCTGTTTTCTGTTTTGCTGCAGGCTCCAGAAAGCACCCTCAAATAAAGACTCAGATTTTCCATCACGTACGATGCAAATTCTATGGCCGGAAAGCCTCAGCGTGGAAAGGAAGAAGTTGTGTCCTTTCTACACTCTTTCTCTGATCACGCTGTGGAAACTCCGCCCCCGTCTCCACGGAAACGCGGCTTCTCCAGCCACTGTCACCAAGGGCGGAGCCCAGGGCGGCTCCTCCTCCCCGGGTTTGCGACTGCTCTCAGGCGGGGAGCGATCGCCGTCACCTTTGAACCTCTCCCTTCCTCTTCTCGGCTGCCCTCCCTTTCCGTTGTTCCTTCGTGCCCCCAAACCACATCCCGGAGCCCGCTGTGCTGCACGGTGGTCAGCGGGGACGGTGCGCCCGGCGTCCGGGCCTGAGAGTCGCCCGGTGCGGCTCTTTTCTCCCCCAGCCCGGGTCACTCCGGGGCTCCGCGCTGGTTGGGCGGGCAGGTTCTCTGCCCAGCGGAAAGTTTTCGGTGCCGGGAGGAAGTTGAACCCTGAAGACTCCGAAAAAGCAGCTCCGGGGGCTGCGGGGATCTGGGCGGCCATGGAGGAGCCCCCTTTGCGAGAGGAGGAAGAGGAGGAGGAAGAAGAGGACGGAGAGGCGGAGGAGGAAGGGCCCGAGGGGGTTCTGGGCAAGAGCCCCTTCCAGCTGACCACCGAGGACGTGTATGACATCTCCTACGTAATGGGCCGCGAGCTGATGGCCCTGGGCAGCGACCCCCGGGTGACACAGCTGCAGTTCAAAATCGTCCGCGTCCTGGAGATGCTGGAGGCGCTGGTGAACGAGGGCAGCCTGACGGCGGAGGCGCTGCGGATGGAGAGGGACAACCTGCGGCAGGAGGTGGAGGGGCTGCGGAGACAGGCACCGCCGGCCGGCGGGGAGGTGAGTGTGGGGAGGGCAGGGCTCGGCCGGCCCGCGGCCGCCTGGGATGCGCGGGACGGCGCCCACCCACAGGGAACCCCTTTCCTCTCTTGAACATGAAGCTCCTCAAAACAATTCACTGCAAATATCCAATGCCCAGATTAGAAACATTGTGATAGTTCACATTTACTGAGCACCTAATAGGTGCCCGGCCCTAGTAAGTTCATAAATCAGCGGCTTCCCTCATCTGTGACCCTGACCAAGGGCAGTGCTGGTCCAGCTTTAGCACTCATTGGAATCAACCGAGTGTTCCTTAAAACACAGATCGCCAGGTCCCAGACTCAGAGTTTCTGACTCAGTAGGTCTGACGCGAGACCTGAGAATCTGCATTTCTAACACGTTCCCTGTGTGATGCTGATGCTGCTGGTCCAGACACCGCACTGGGCTAACCTTTGACCTAGAGTAAGAGGCACATTTTAACTAAAGAGAAATTAGTGCATATGACCACAAAAAGACATACAAGAAGATTCAGAGCAGCTTTAGTCATAATTGTGCCAAACTGGAAACAATCCAAATGCAACAGAATATAGAGTTTTAAAATTGTGCTGTATTCCTATAATGGAATACTACACAGCAATGAAAAAGAACGGAGTACAGGTACACACAACAGTATGGCTGAATCTCACACATTACATTGAGAGCAGCCAGGCACAAAAGAGAATCTACTGTATATTTATATAATATTCAAGATTGGGGGAAATAATCATTAATTATAGAAAGCAGAATGGGGGAGGAAGCAGAAGGGAAATTGATAAAGAGCTAGAAATGTTCCACGTCTTCATCAGTGTGTGGTTATATCGGTATACACACACACACACACACACACACACACACACACGTTAAAAATCAAGCTATAAACTCAAGATTAGTGCATTTTACTGTATATATGTTATACCTCAGTTTTACAAAATTACATTTTATATCACTATCCAGTACTGATGTAACAAAAGTTTCAAAAAACAATTTACTCTAACTTGCCCTTGCTAAACATGATGCAAAGTCATAGTCTCTTTCCTATTCAATTTTTATGAGTTTTTCATTTTTGGTGGGTGCAGGGGACAGCTGGCCGGGTACGGGGATCCAACCCTGGACCTTGGCGTTATTAGCCCATGCTGTGACTGACTGAGTTAACTGGCCAGCCCAGTTTTTAAATTCTTTTTTTTTTTTTCCTACCAGTTTTAAAATTCTTGTTGTGACTCACCAAATTAATTTCATGATTTACTAGTAGATCTCCAGCTACAGTTTAAAAAAAAAAAAAACCTGCTCTAAGCAGACTATCTCATTTAATCTCACACTATTATTATACCCCTTTTAGAGAAGCTGAGGCACAGAACGATTAATTTGCCTAAGGACTTACAGCAAGTAAGAGGCGGCGTTAGGATTCGAACTCAGAGATACTAGTCTTAATTACTTAACTTTATACTAAAGTACAGACATTTGGGCTGGCCAATTAGTTCAACTGGTTAGAGCGCATCCTTAGAACACCAAGGTCACGGGTTCAGATCCCCATACTGGCTGGCCTCCACAAAAACACAAAACGAACAAAAATAAATAAAATATAGACATTTGACCTTCTTTGTTGTACAAACATCTGATGAGAGACTGCTGTACGCCAGGCTCTGGGGCTATGGAGGGAAATTAGACAAGGTCCCCGCCCTTACAGAGCTCACATCTGGTGGGAGAAGTAAGACACACATACCTCTAGAAGCAGAACACAAGATTACAAACCAAGAAGCATGCCATGAAAGAGCAACAGAAGCAAACAAACAAAAAAAGACCAAGAACAGTGTCCCTGAAATTCACAGGGAAGCGTGAAGATTTCTAGTAGCCTCCTTGATAAGTTTTATTTCACAATTCCTAAGTCCCGGTGACACCTGTATTTGTAGATAAGGTTCTATTTTAGTATCCATCATGTGAGATGGTTGAGTATCATGATTAGTAGCCCACTTTTTTTTTTATTTTTTTTTTTAAAAGATGACCGGTAAGGGGATCTTAACCCTTGACTTGGTGGTGTCAGCACCACGCTCAGCCAGTGAGCGAACCGGCCATCCCTATGTGGGATCCGAACCCGGGGCCTTGGTGTTATTAGCACCGCACTCTACCAAGTGAACCACGGGCCGGCCCGAGTAGCCCACTTTTGAGATTCAAGAAAAGTTCAATGACTTGCCCAAAGTTGCCCAGCCACATTCTGTGCTATTTTTGTCTAGATCTCCAGGCACAAGGATAAGGAGGAAGCCCCATTAGGACGTGGGACAGTGTGGTTTGAACAGGGGCTGGGTGATTTCCCATATGGGGCAAAGTTGGACAAATTTCATCAGGAAGCAGATGAGATGGCACATTTGCTTCCCAAACCACAGTCTTAAGAACTGAGTTGGAGTAAAGGGCATGAATTAAGAGAAAAAAATGTTTAGTGCCATTAGACAGTTTATTAAAATATGCCTTGTCCTTTTTTCTTTCTTTTTGATTATTTTAAATTATTTTTAATTGTAGTAAAATACACGTAACTTAAAACTTACCATCTTAGGGCCGGCCTGCTCACATGGTAGAAAATGGCAGAGCAGAGAGAAAAATTCTCACATACTCTCCTTTTAAAGCCCTCAGAACCACACCTCTGATGACCATTATTAATCCATTCACTTTGGCATGGTCCTACAATCTAATCACCTCTTCAAGGCCCCACCTTTCAATAGCCATAACAGGATTTCCCACTCTCAACAGTTACAGTGGGAATTAAGCTTCTAATATATGAACTTTGGGGGACACAATTCAATCAATCCACAGCATTTGTTTTGTTTTTGGCAGCAGGCCAGTACAGGGATCAAATCCTGGACCTTGGTGTTATCAGCACCACACAAACCAACTGAGCTAACCAGCCGGTCCTAAAAATAGTTCTGAGAAGGGTACGGGCGCGACACTGAGGGTTGCGATCCGTTGCCGGTCACGAAAAAAGACAAAAAAAAATCTTACCATCTTAACCATCTTTAATTATACAGTTCAGCTGCATTAAGCACATTCATGTTGTGCTACCTTCACCACCATCCAATTCCAGAACTCTTCATCTTTCAGAACTGAAACTCTGTACCCATTAAATAGCTTGCCAGTTCTCCTCCCCTCAGTGCCTGGTAACTACTTTTCTACTTTCTGTCTCTTTGAATTTACCTATTCTAAGTATTTCATATAAATGGAATCATATAATATTTGTCCTTATGTGACTGGTTTCTTTTACCTAGCATGATGTCCTCAAAGTTCATCAGTACAAGGTTGTTGCATGTGTCAGAATTTCCTTCCTTTTAAATGGCTGAACAATATTTCCCTGCATGTATATACCATATTTTGTTTATTCATTCATCTATCAGTGGACACTTGGGTTGTTTCCATCCCTTGGCTATGGTGAATAATAATGCTATGAACGTGGTTGTACAAATATCTCTTCAAGTCCCTGCTTTCAATGCCTTTGGGTATATACCCAGTAGTGGAATTGTTGAGTCATATGGTAATCCTATTTTCAATTTCTTAGAGGAACTACCATAATGTTTTCCATAGTGACTGCACCATTTTACATTCCCATGAGGTGCACAAGGGTTCCAATTTCTCCACATCCTTGCCAACACTTATTTTTGGTTCTCTTTTTTCTTTTCTTTTTTTTTTTGGTGGCTGGCCAGTACAGGGATCTGAACCCTTGACTTTGGTGTTATTACACTGTGGTGTAACCAACTGAGCCAACAGACTAGCCCATATTTTCTGTTCTTTTGACAGTAGCCATCCTAATGGATATGAGGTGGCTTCTTTCTTTCTTTTTTAAAAAATTAAGTTCAGGGCCGGGCCTGTGGCTCACTCGGGAGAGTGCGGTGCTGACAACACCAAGTCAAGGGTTAAGATCCCCTTACTGGTCATCTTTTAAAAAAAAAAAAAAATTAAGTTCAAAATTCAAAAGGGGCCTGACCGGTCACATCAGTTGGTTAGAGTATAGTACTGATAACACTGAGGTTCAGGTTTGATCCCTGTACTGGCCAGCAGCACCCCCCAAAAAATCAAAAAAACAAAAAACAAAACAAAATTCAAAAAGTATGAAAGTATTTGCCTTAAAAAATCTCCCTCCCCATCATTCTCCACCCCAGCCACCAAATTCCCCAACGTGGAAAAAATTTAAATGATCGATGTCTTGTGTATCCTTCCAGAGATACATTATGCAAACACATTGAAATATGACTATATTTTTTACATTTTTTTACACAAAAGGTATTATAACATATATACTGTTCTATCTCTTGCTTATTTTCACTTAACATAGCTTGAAAGTTGTACTAGACCAGAATATAATGAGCTTCCTTATTTATTAATGGCTTTTGAAAAATTCCATTGTACGGTATTGTCAATTGTTAGTCTGAGGGTTCTTAACCTGGTGTTCATGGATTCACCTAGGGGACTATGAATCTAATTCAAGAAGTCCACGAACTTGCATGAGAAAAAAATTACATTTTAATTTTTGCCAATCTCCAAACGAAATTTATCATTTACTTCAATTATGGGTGTAGACAACTAACCCCAGTAACAGGAGCAATACCCATGAGTATCACCAATATAAATCACGTATGTCTTCACATTACAGTGTAGTGTAGTACATATCGGAAAACTTTGTTTTTGTTCAATATTTTCTTAAACTTGTGGCTAGATTGTGTCATCTAATAAAGAAGCATCTATATTAATCACAAATTTGCTTTAAAAATGTTTTGGTAGTTGTATGCCAGCTTAGTTAATGTTCTTGTAGTTCTACATATTTTATTTTAGAAATTTTAAAACTATTCTTTGTTGTATTAGTCTGTTTCTGTTGCTTATAACAAAATGCCTGGAACTAGATGATTTGTAAGAAAATGAAATTTATTGCTTACAATTTCAGAGGCTGGGAAGTCCGAAGTCCAAGGTCCAGAGAACACATCTAGTGAAGGTCTTCTTTAGTGGTGGCTTTATAGCAATGCAGGGGTCTCACATGGTAGAAAATGGCAGAGCAGAGAGAAAAATTCTCACATACTCTCCTTTTAAAGCCCTCAGAACCACACCTCTGATGACCATTATTAATCCATTCACTTTGGCATGGTCCTACAATCTAATCACCTCTTCAAGGCCCCACCTTTCAATAGCCATAACAGGATTTCCCACTCTCAACAGTTACAGTGGGAATTAAGCTTCTAATATATGAACTTTGGGGGACACAATTCAATCAATCCACAGCATTTGTTTTGTTTTTGGCAGCAGGCCAGTACAGGGATCAAATCCTGGACCTTGGTGTTATCAGCACCACACAAACCAACTGAGCTAACCAGCCGGTCCTAAAAATAGTTCTGAGAAGGGATCCACATGGCTTTCCCAGGCTACCAAAAGGGTCCTTGGCACCAAAAATGGTTAATCTCTGCTTTAACCAGTGTCCTATGTCCTACCAAAAGATCTTTCTTTTCCAATCATTTCCTCCTCCCGTATACAACATTGAATAACCCTGACATTTGCCACTTGGCCCCTGACAGGACAATATCTATAGGAAATGGATCCTCACTGGGTCAAAGGAAAGGTGCATTTGAAATTTTGATAAGTATTGCCAAATTGCAGTCCAAAGAGGTTAACAAGATCTGCTCTCTCAGTCATAACTGAAAGTTCCTGTTTCCCCATAGCCTTTACCATGTTTTCAGATGTGCTTTTCTTTGTCAGGCGAAACATGGTCACTCTCTACAGCATTTCTCATGATAGTGTGCCTCATTTTCTTAATGCCTGTAGAATATTCCAGAGTGCGGTTATGCCTTAGTTTATTTAAGTAGACTTCTATATTTGTGTCTATATATTATTCACTCATATTTTTTTGCTCGACCCTTTGAGAGTTAGTTGCAGGTATTATGATCCCTTACCACTAAATAATTTAGTGTGTTTCTCCTAAGACATAGGAAGGTACTTGAAAAAGTTCATGGAAAGATTTGTATTATCTTTTAATTCTATTTTTCCACGAACTTTTTGAAGTGCCCTCATACTATTATGTAACCACAAGAAATGATCAAATGCAGAATATTAAGATCTAATATACCATCTATATTCAAAATCCAGCAATAATGTCCTTTATAGATGTCTTTTCTGATGCGGGATCCAATTCAGGGTCACATGATGCCTTTGGTTGTCTTGTCTCTTTAATCTCCATTAATCTGGAATAATTCCTCAGATTTTCCTTATCTTTTGTGACCTGACATTTCTGAAGATTAAACATCAGTTGCAAAATGTCCTTCAGTCTGAATTTGTTCTGATGTTTCCTCATGATAGATTGAAATCATATATGTTTGGCAAGAACACCACTGAAGTGACATTGTGCCCCTCTCAATGCACCCTATCAGGAGGCACATGGTATGTTTGTCATTATTGGTGATAAGTTTGATCACTTGGTTAAAGTGGTTGTATTCATTTCTGTTGCTTATAACAGAATACCTTAAACTGGGTAATTTATAAAGAAATGAAATTTATTTCTTACAGTTTGGAGGCTGGGAAGTCCAAGGTCCAGGGAACACATCTGTTGAGGGCCTTCTTCTTGGTGAGAACTCTACACAGAGCCCTGTGGTGACTAGCTTATCACATGGCAAGGACAGCTTGAGAGCAAGAGAGAGCTAACCTTCTCAATTGCCCTCTTTTTTTGGTGGCTGGCTGCTAAAGTCTGAACCCTTGACCTTGGTGTTATAACACTGTGCTCTAACCAGCTGACCCAACTGGGAAGATCCTTGATACTGAAATTGTTCTCAGTTTGGCTAGCAGGAGTTCCTTCAAACTGTGTCATTTTGATCTGTCTCCATCACTTACACAACAAAATGTTCCTGGCTCAGTTTATACTTTCTCTGCTCCAGCCCTGGGAGAGGCCATTCTCCAAGGAGCCCTAGTTCTTTTTTTCCTGGAGAGTGGTATTTAGACTTTTTGCTTCTTTACCATTAACCATGCATTTCCAACAGGCAACACCTCAGCTCACAGGGTCCCAGAGAGCCACACAACAAGAGAACTATCCTTTCTGGGATAGACAGTCCATCCTCATAAGGGAAACCATATAAGTGGCATCTTTTCTTACAGGTGAACCTGGGACCTGACAAAATTGTGGTTGATCTGACCGATCCCAACCGACCCCGCTTCACTCTGCAGGAGCTGAGGGACGTGCTGCAGGAACGCAACAAACTCAAGTCGCAGTTGTTGCTGGTGCAGGAAGAGCTACAGTGCTATAAGAGGTGGGCTCTGCTGCCTTGGGAGCTCCCATTCTGCAGAGCTGGACCCTGCCTGGGATTCCTTGCTATGTGGCGTACTTGTTCTTATGTTCCAGCCACTTCATTGAAGACCTACTATGTGCCAGATGCTGTTCCAGGCACTGGAGATTACAGCAGTGATCAAAACAGACGAGGAGAAAGTCCATGCTAGTCTAGTGGTTGAAACAGGCTATCAATGAGGAAGCCCAAAACCACCATTCAGGATAATGGTGGCAAGTAAAGAATATCAAAAAGCATGACCTGACAGACTGTGAAGTGGGAGGTGGATAGGGAGCCTGTTTTATTTAACCCGTGGCCTTGGTGTTATCAGCACCGCACTCTCCCGAGTGAGCCATGGGCCGGCCCGGGAGCCTGTTTTAGATTGGGTGGTCAGAGAAGACCCCTTTTAGGTTAATGGCAAGAAGGAGGCAACCATGTAAAGATTTGGTAGGGCAAAAATGGAGCAATATAGGGGCTGGCCAGTTAGCTCAGTTTGTTACAGCACGGTGCTGATAACATCAAGATTCAGGGTTCCATGTCTGTTCTGGCCAGCTGCCAAAAAAAAAAAAAAAAAAAAAAATTGGCAGATCTGGGTAAAGGGTATATAGTAAGTCTTTGTACTAATCTTGCAATTTTTCTGTAACTTTGAAATTATATAAAAATTAAAAGTTAAAAAAGATCACAGTGGTACTATGTAGAGAATGGATTGTATGACAAGAGAGGAAGGAAACTGTTGCCATATCATGAGCGGACTTTGCTCTTTCCCTTTTTGCCACTATTTCCCAAAATGTTTTCCTCTATGTAGGTATTTCTTGAAAAGGAGGCTCTGTGGTTGAATAATTCTGGTAAACACTGAGTTAAACAAAGCACGTTTCCTTGTAGGTAGAGGAAGGAAAGACCAAAAGAATAAAAACACAGTGCCAGGGCCGGTCCGGTGGTGCACTGGAGAGTGTGCCGCTTGGGAGTGCGGCGGCGCTCCCGCTGAGGGTTCGGATCCCATGTGGAGACTGGTTCCCGCTCACTGGCTGAGCGCGGTGCGGGCACAACACTGAGGGTTGCGATCCCGTTGCCGGTCCCCGGTACGGGCGCGACACCGAGGGTTGCAATCCCGTTACCGGTCAGTAATAAAGACAAAAAGGAAAAAAAAAAAAAAAAACACAGTGCCAGCTAATATTTATTGATACTTACCATATGCCAGGTACTCTGCTAAGTGGATCCCCAGCATCCTTCCAATTAGTGCTCACAGCAAGACTGTGAGTGGAGGTGACAGTGTTGTCATGGTGAGCTGAGGTTCAGAAACATTGGTACCTGCTTAAAGTCCAATGGCTAGTGGTGGCAACAGTGGGATGTGACCTCAGACAGTTGACATCACTGCCTATGCTTTTAATTAGCATGCCACATTTGGACCTGGGAAATTTGGATCGAGGACATGCCCTGATCAAAAAAATGTGAAAAAACAAAACAAAGTCCAAGTGATATTATTCTTTGAATTCCTTAAATGGAGCATCTTTAAGAGAGCAGCAGTAAAGTAGAAGTGTTGTAAGAAACCAAATCCAAAAGGGCTAAGTTCTGCCAACAGGAATTTAATTTTCTGTCTTCTGCTGAGGTTGGGACTATGTTAATGGAACGACCTATCTTCATTTCATTTAATAAGTAGTTTAGACATAGGTAGTTAAAAAGAGGAACTACTTAACTGCTGATGCCATGAGCAACTTATTAGTGAGCAAAACAACACACTTTATTTCCAGTGTTTAATTCCCAGAGAACAAGAGATGTGCACTTTCCCTCTGGCACAGGCCAATAGAAGCAGGATTCTGCTTAGTCTCTAGTGTTACCTATTCTGGAGAAACCAGCATGCCAACTGAAGTGTTCTCTTAGCAACTGCCTCCATTTGGAGGTCCAAACTCATGTTGATAATATGCTGATAATAATCTGTAATTACAGGGAGATGTGGTAGGTTGCTTCCAAAGGTGGCCACAACAGTATTTCCCATCCTACATGCCTTTTGCAAGGAGACTTTGCCGCTCCTCTCATCAAGAGGTGGAGCCTGTTTTCCCTCTCTTTGAATCTGGGCTGCCCCTGTGACTTGTTTTGACGAGGTGGAAGTGATGCTGCTTGGCTTCCTAGGTTAGGGCTTTAAGAGACCTTGCAGCTTCCATTTTTGTGATCCTGGAATGCTGCCTTGAGACCACCATGCAGTAAGGAAGCTCAAGGTAGTCACATGGAGAGATCACGTGAAGGAGAACAGAGGTATCCCTGATGACAGCCCCAGCTGTGCCCAGCCCTCAGCCGATCCACCATCTGAAGGCAGCTGAGTGAGAACCCTAGACTAGCCCATCAGGAGAACCAACTACACGGCCAACCATCAGAACTAGAGCCATTGTGAGAGATCATAAATCATTATTGTTTTAGGTTACTAAGTTTTATTCATGTAATAATAGATAAGGGGAAAGGGGGATTTTTAGATGATCCTTCTTGTTAAATAATATCATTATTATAATAACAAATATATATAAAAAGAATATAAATATCCCCATACTTGCCAGGCACCAAAAGAAAAATATATGTATATATAAGTATATACACACACACATATTAAATAATAAGAGCCCACTCTTTGCCAAATGCTTTCTTTTTTTTTTTTTTTTTTTTAAAAAAGATGACCGGTAAGGGGATCTTAACCCTTGACTTGGTGTTGTCAGCACCACGCTCAGCCAGTGAGCAATCCGGCCATCCCTATGTGGGATCCGAACCCATGGCCTTGGTGTTATCAGCACCGCACTCTCCCGAGTGAGCCACGGGCCGGCCCTGCCAAATGCTTTTGTGAAGAAGGAGAGAAAAGGGCAAATCCTACCCTCTGACACTCACACTGAAAAGGGTGTCTTAGTCAGCTTCTTGGGCTGCCATAACAAAATACCACAAACTTCATGGCTTCCACAACAGAAACTTATTTTCTCACAGTTCTAGAGATTGGAACTCCAAGATCAAGGTGCCAGCATGGTCAGTTTCCGATGAAGCCTACCTTCCTGGTAGACAACTGCCTTCACCTATGTGAAGCAAGCTCGATAGTGTCTCTTCACATAGGACACTACTTTTAACTTTTTTTTTTTAAGGGGATCTTAACCCTTGATTTGGTGATGTCAGCACCACACTCTCCCAAGTGAGCCAACCGGCCATCCCTATGTAGGGACCCGGACCCATGGCCTTGGTGTTATCAGCACCGCACTCTCCCGAGTGAGCCACGGGCCGGCCCTGCCAAATGCTTTTGTGAAGAAGGAGAGAAAAGGGCAAATCCTACCCTCTGACACTCACACTGAAAAGGGTGTCTTAGTCAGCTTCTTGGGCTGCCATAACAAAATACCACAAACTTCATGGCTTCCACAACAGAAACTTATTTTCTCACAGTTCTAGAGATTGGAACTCCAAGATCAAGGTGCCAGCATGGTCAGTTTCCGATGAAGCCTACCTTCCTGGTAGACAACTGCCTTCACCTATGTGAAGCAAGCTCGATAGTGTCTCTTCACATAGGACACTAATCCCATCATGAGGGCCCCACCCTCATGACCTCATCTAAACCTAATTATCTTCCAAAGGGCCCATCACCAAATACCATCACATATCAACATATGAATCATTTTTGGGGGGGGGAGGCTAGCCAGTAGGGGATCTGAACCCTCAACCTCAGTATGACAACACTGTGCTCTAACCAGCTGAACTAACCAGCCAGCCCCTATCTTCTCATTTAATCCCCCAGTCCTAGGAGGTAGGTAATATCATTATCCTCATTTTACAAGTTAGGAAACTAAAGCTTACGTTAGAGAATATAAATGTGGTCATATTCCTAGAAAGTGAAGAAGTTTGAAGTACTAGCCAATGTAATTAGATAAAAAGAATTAGAAGGCATCAACATTAGAAGGATGGAGGGAAATTCTCATTATTTGAATAACGATCTCTGACTCTAGTCCTTTCAGCCATAATATTATTAATATACTAATAATTATTAAGACCCTTCACTTTTAGAGCTGCACAGTAAGAGGTCTGCAATGAAACAACCCGTTTATTTGCCCCCTTTACCCCAGTGGCCTGATTCCACCAAGAGAAGGCCCAGGAAGGAGAAGAGAAAAAAATCCTCTGGTTACCAGGACCAGCCCTGCCAGCAGTAACAAAGAAGAGAAGACAATCATAAGGAAGCTGTAAGTCACCTTGCTGCCCCCATTGCCACTAAATAATTGCTAAGGGAAGTAGTGGGGGGTGAGAGGAGGCTGGCAGGCTGCCCGGGACAGGAAGGCCCTCCTCTCTTCTGGTGTGGACGCTTCAGCTGATATGAAAACCCAATGACAGTGTATTATAATAATGACCTCTAACAGGTAGTAGCCTAAGCACTTGACATATATTAATTTCTTGAATCATCAGAATGACCCTGTGAAGTAGAACTGTTATTATCCCCATTTCACAGATGGAGAAATAGATACCAAGGTAAAGTAATTTGCCCAAGGTCACACAGATGGTAAATAGTGAAGTTATTACAACAATATGAAAACAGTAACAATAATTATTGGAGTTAAGGGGGATAATTCATCACCTCTCTTACCTCCAACTTTGAAACCAATCAAGAAAACCAAACGTCTAAAAATCAGTACGCCATGGGCCGACCCGGTGGCGCACTGCTGCAGTGCCCCACTTGGGGGTGCGGCGGCGCTCCCGCCGAGGGTTCGGATCCCACATGCAGACCGGTTCCCGCTCACTGGCTGAGCGAGGTGCGGGCGCGGCGCCGAGGGTTGCGATCCCGTTGCTGGTCCCGGTCCGGTGCGCACGTGACACTGAGGGTTGCGATCCGTTGCCGGACATGAAAAAAGACAAAAAAAGACAAAAATAGGGCCGGCCCGTGGCTCACTCGGTAGAGTGCGGTGCTAATAACACCAAGGCCCCGGGTTTGGATCCCACATAGGGATGGCCGGTTCGCTCACTGGCTGAGCGTGGTGCTGACAACACCAAGTCAAGGGTTAAGATCCCCTTACCTGTCATCTTTAAAAAAATAAATAAATAAAAATAAAAAAGACAAAAATAAATAAATAAATAAATAAATAAAAATAAAAATCAGTACGCCAGATGCTGAGCTCAGTGAAACATCTACTCAGGAGCCCCATTTTACAGATGGGTAAACTGAGTCAGAGAAGATCAATAACTTGCTAAGGCTATGCAGCTGGTCAGTGGGGGTGGAATTGGGACATGAAGCCACATCTACCTGACTCCTAAGTGTATATGCCCTTAATCTTGTGCTACACGGAACCCACAGCAAGGCAAACCCCTTTCCAGAATGTTTCCGGCTGCACATGGTGATGCCCAGGAAATGGAATCAGTAGTCCAAATCTCCTTGCTAACCAGAAAGAATCAGAGGAAAGAGCAATTTCAGCCTGCCTGTGGGAAGTACTTGAGGACCTCTCCCTGTCCTGTGTAGGTCCACTCCTCTCAAGTGACCCCGTTGTGGTTTCCTTTGAATACTTCCCTTAGTCTATGCACCATTGCTGATCTGTCACTTCTTCAGATGCTGCATCCTCACCTGCGTGTGGGGCACCTGTGTAACATTCAGATTCTCAGGAATCAAGTCAGTGGTTCCAGGATGAGGCCCAGAAATCTTGATTTTTTGCATGTTCCTTGGGCAATTCTGATGTGGGAGACCCTTGAGCCACACTTCAGTATCTGCCTTCTCAGTCACCAGGAGTCAGTACAATTAGAGGCAGCCTTTAAGCAAACAGCCTGCTTGCCTTGGTTGCTTCGAGAATGTCTGCCCTGGTAACAGTTGACCAGCACCTGGTCTCCTGAATGGAAACTAAGAAACAGTGCAGATCAGGGATCTCAATCTCAAATGCCACTTCATGTAGATGTGTGAGGAGGTGTGGAGAGGGGCAGGAGGCTATTTGCCCCTCAGCTCTGAGTGGCCCAGGGGTATCATGCTGCCAGAGCTTCTGATTCTTGAGAGAAACCAAGAAACCGGGTTTGTTCACAGAATCTGATTTTTTTTTTTTCCTTTTTGTCTTTTTTACTGACCGGTAACGGGATCGCAACCCTCGGTGTCGCGCCCGTACCAGGGACCGGCAACGGGATCGCAACCCTCTGTGTTGCGCCCGCACCGCGCTCAGCCAGTGAGCGGGAACCAGTCTCCACATGGGATCCGAACCCTTGGCGGGAGCGCCGCCGCACTTCCCAAGCGGCGCACCCTCCAGTGCGCCACCGGGCCGGCCCAACAGAATCTGATTTTTAAATGCCGGTGGATAATTTAAGTTAAAAACAAAAATACTGTGCAATCCAAATGAACCACCACTGCAGGCTGTGTTGGGTCCAGGGCCACCAGGCTACCACCTCCGCTCTTGCTACCTTAGTGCTTCCTGAGGGAAGGCTGCTTATCCATGGCTGAGAGGACCTTGTTTTCTTTCACTCATTTGGTCATGAGTCAGTCAACAAACTCTCACTGAGTATAGATTGTGTGCCAGGTGTCGTGCTGGGCACTGGGGATATAGCAATGATTTGTTTTACAAGGACTTTGTTGGCGCCCATTTCACAGGGAAATATTTTTGAGGGTTCAGAGATTCTGGGTTACCCTCCGGGGTAGATTTAAGATGTCTTTGTTTCAAGAGAGAAGAGAAAAATTCTTTTTCTTTTTTTTTTGCTGGCCACTGCAGGGATCAAACCCTGTACCTTGGTGTTCTCAGCACCAGCTGTTGCTCTAACCAACTGAGCCAACCAGCCTTTTTCCTTTTTCAACTCAGGAACAGCACTGAGTTCATAATCCCTGGCTTATGGTCCACATTGTTCATTGTTAGTGAGAAACCCCTTTCTTCTTGGCTATTATTTATTCCCTTCTTATCCCCATCCCCCATTCTCATTCTACTTCCCAGCTCCCCTCCCCCCAAGCCATTCTAAGATGTTTATTAATGTGTCTTTTTATTTGAATGCTTTCTAATAATTGTGTATTGTTTGGTGTGGATGTATTTTCTTTTATTTTCTTAAATTCAATTTTATTTATATTTATTTTTGTAGGGTACAGTATATTGTTTCAATACATGCATATCCTGCACAATGATTCACTAAGGGTAGACAGCATAGTTTTGTACCCGTAAGTCCACCCCTAGTCTTTCTCTCACCCCCACCCTCCCAGCTTCTGGTAACCAATATTCTACTCTCTACTTTTTTTTTTTTTTTTCAAACACACGAAGATTAACATCCTTATTGCAAAAAGAACCCTTAAAAATGAATTAGAGGGCCAGCCCGGTGGTGCACTGCTACAGTGCGCCGCTTGGGAGCGCGGCGGCGCTCCTGCCGAGGGTTCGGATCCCACATACAGACCGGTTCCCGCTCACTAGCTGGGCGAGGTGCGGGTGCAACACCAAGGGTTGCGATCCCATTGCCGGTCCCGGTCCGGTACGGGCGCAACACTGAGGGTTGCGATCCGTTGCCGGACACGAAAAAAGACAAAAAAAAGGGGAAAAAAAATGAATTAGAAAAATCTAAGCAGAAATTTGGTTAAGGACATGAGCAGATAAGTCACACACCCCCTGAAAAACACACGTGGTTAATAAATACATTCTAGGATCTGGTTGCGGGTGGGGGAGGGGATGCCCAGCCCATCTCAGGATCCCAGGCTTTCGGCTGGCTCTGTTGCTGGCCTGGATATGGTGGATGTATTTTCAATATATAACTGATATTTTGTTTAACACCTCATCCTGTTTCCTAGCAGTTTTTTTCACTAAACACTTTCCTTTTTTTCATTAAGTAGCTGCGTTTGCTTTTAAATTTTTTTTTTTTTTTTAAAGATGACCGGTAAGGGGATCTCAACCCTTGGCTTGGTGTTGTCAGCACCACGCTCAGCCAGTGAGCAAACCGGCCATCCCTATATAGGATCCGAACCCGCCGCCTTGGTGTTACCAGCACCGCACTCTACCAAGTGAGCCACGGGCCAGCCCAAATTTTTTAATAATATATTTTATTAACCCAACATATTCAAAATATTTTTGTTTTTTCTTTTTTTAAAATTTTTTCTTTTTAAAATATTGTTTAAACATGTGATTACTATAAAACATTATTAATGAGATATTTTACTTTTTTTTTTTAGTTAACCTTTAAAATTTGGTGTTGGGCCGAGCCCGTGGCGCACTCGGGAGAGTGCGGCGCTTGGGAGCACAGCAGCGCTCCTGCCACAGGTTTGGATCCTATATAGGGATGACCGGTGCGCTCACAGCGCTCACTGGCTGAGCGCGGTGCGGCCGGTCTCAAAAAGGACAAAAAATAAATAAGTAAATAAAATAAAAAAATAAAATTTGGTGTATATTTTGCACTGAAAGCACATTTCAGTAACACCAGCCATGTTTCAAGGGCTCAAAAGCCACGTGCAGCTATTGGCCACCATACTGGACACCACAGACTTAACTGATACATGGTGAGAATACTTAGGCTTTGAGAACTGAGTTTGAATGATTTTTGTTTTTGTTTTAAATCGTGGTATAATATACATAACATAAAATTTACCATTTTAACCATTTTTAAGTGCACTAGTCAGTGGCATTAGGTATCTTCACAGCGTTGTTGCAAACATCACCACCACCCATCTCTAGGACTCCTCATCCGTAAAACCAAAACTCTGTACCCATTAAACACTAACTCCCCATTTTTCTTTCCCCCAGCCCCTGGTAACCTCTATTCTACTTTCTGTCTCTATGAATTTATCTCTTCTAGGGACTTCATATAAGTGCAGTCATACCGTATTTGTCCTTTTGTGTCTGGCTTATTTCACTTAGCATAATGTCCTCAAGGTTCATCCGTGTTGTAGTGTGGATCAGAATTTCCTTCTTTTTGGGCTGGCCCGGTGGCGCACTGGATAGTGCACTGCTTGGGAAGCGCGGCGGCGCTCCCGCCCGAGGGTTCGGATCCCACATACGGACCGGTTCCCGCTCACTGGCTGAGCGAGGCGCGGGAGCAACACCGAGGGTTGCGATCCCATTGCCGGTCCCCGGTCCGGTATGGGGGCGACACTGAGGGTTGCAATCCGTTGCCGGACATGGAAAAAGACAAAAAAAAAATAATAATTTCCTTCTTTTTTCTTTTCTTTGTTTAAAAATTAATATCTTTTTTTTTTGTATGGTTTTTTTTTCTTTTTTCTTTTTCATCTTCGTTTTTTTCTTTTGTTTTCATTTTTTTCTCTCCTTTTTTTTCTTCAGAAGTTCCTTCTTTTTTAATTCCACTGTATGAACAGACCACATTTTGTTTACCTGTTGATGGATGTTAAGCACTATTTTTAATGTCCATCTATACAGCAGTGTAGACACCTGCTTGTTGCTTCTAACTCCGTGATGGGCTCCCTGGTGCCTTCAGCAATCTCCCCCTGTCAGTGATGTTGCTGTGAATGTCTTCCTGCTTGTCCTGGCTTCTCATGGACCTGCATGTGACTTTCCCAGGGATATATACCCAGGAGTGCAACTGCTGGGTCCTAGGCTATGTCAGCCTAGGGACTGGCAAGAAACAAATGGCACACTCAAAAGGGGGGGACATTTTACAGATGTGTGAGCAGGGTTAAGGGAACTCAGCAGGGGATGGATGAGTGCCCAGGGGCTGGCAACAAAGGAGAGATTTTACTTGTCTTTAGGCTTGAAGGTGTGAAGTGAGGGAACTGTTAACTGAAGAGGGGAAGTCAGACAGGAGTGTGGCCTTCCAGCAGAGGAACACAGAGACTGCTAGAACAAGGCCTGGCAGGGAGGGTGCCAGGGAAGAAATACCCCTGCTCCTGCCTTCCCATCTCCTGCTGATGCCTTCCCATTGGCTGAGCCCAACCAGAAGCCAGAGGACGAGGGAGCTTGTGGATATAGTCCGAGGAGGCCTCCCTCTGGGAGCTGAGAGCAGAGTAGAGAAGGAAGAGATGGATCCGGAGGGGCAAACAGCCCGTAGAGCATGCACGTACTTAATTTAGTGAAGTAGTACCAGACTTTCTGGAATGGCTGCATGAAAACTGCTTTGTCAGACAAGACCATCTGAAACCAAATTCATTTATTCATTCATTCAACAAATATTTATTGAGGGCCTACCATGTGCCAGGCATTGTTCTAGGTTCTAGGGGTATAGCAGTGAACAAGAGAAAGTCCCTGCCCTCATGAAGCTTATGGTCTAGTAGGGAGAGGTAGAAGTGAACAGATAAAGAAGTAAATTAACAGGACAATTTCAGATAGCCATAAGTACTCTGAAGAGCATTAAATAGGATGCTAAGATAGCGTGACAGGGGGTGACTGTAGATCTGGGGAGTCCTGAAAGGCTTCTTAGAGGAGCTGACATTCAAGGTGAGCCCTGAAGGACAATAAAGACCTGAAGGAAGAGCATTCTTGGCAGGTGGAACAGTAGGTGTAGAGGCCTGAGGCTGGAGATAGCTTCTGGAACAGAAGATCTTGGTGGCCGGAACCATGAAGAGAATGGAGGTAAGGATGGAGATGTGTGAGGAGCCAGGTCACCCAAGGCCACATAGATCTGGTGAGGATTTTGGGTTTCATTCTAAGTGCATTGGAAAGATATTGGAGGGTTTTAAGCTGGGGAGTAACATGACTATATTTACATATAAAAAGCCCACTCTAGAGCAGGCCAGTTAGCTCAGCTGGTTAGAGTGCAGCCTTTTAACAACTAGGTCAAGTCACCAAAAAAAATTAAAAAGCCCACCCTGGCTGCTTTGTGGAGAAGGACTGGGGGGACAGGGACTAAGCAGGCCCAGTGGGGGGGGCGGGTTCTCCCCCAAGGAAGGGTCTTCCGGGGTAAGATAATGAAAAAGCACCCTACACCAGGTGTCAAATCTGAAGGTGTTCATTAGGACTTTCACTGGCTGAGTACCTCAGTGTAAATAAGGCTTCTAGAAGGCATAAACTACTGGTTTCTAGGGGATTTCCTTGGGTCACTTAATTGGAGTTTGAGCCTGATAGGGCAAAAACAAAATTTTTGTTCTGGGCATGAGCCAGCCTGAGGACACATTTAATGAGCAAGGATACACACTTTCATGGTCAGATAAGCTTACTGAGCTAATAGAATGAATGAATGGATGGATGGATGGATGAATGAATGAATGAATGAATGAATGAATGAATGAATGAACAACTTCTGGAGAAGTAGATCATGCTAAGAAGGATTTTTGTCTTTATTGTGAGGACAGTGGGGAACCATGGAAGGGTTTAAGCTAAGGAATGACTTAGTCAGCTCTGCTTTGTGACATGGTCATGCTGGTTGCTGGGTGGATTGTAGGGGCTGACAGAGAGGCTGTTGTACTCATTGTGGTGGCTTGTACTAGGGGATGGCAGTGGAGGAGATAAGTGGTGGGATCAGGAACATATTTGGGTGTGATGACTAAAATAAGGCAGGTGGAGGGAGGAGTTAAGGACAACTCCTGGGGCCGGCCCATGGCTCACTTGGGAGAGTGTGGTGCTGATAACACCAAGGCCATGGGTTCGGATCCCTATATAGGTATGGCCGGTTATCTCACTTGGGAGAGCGCGGTGCTGACAATACCAAGTCAAGGGTAAAGATCCCCTTACCAGTCATCTTTTTTTTTTTTTAAAAAAAAAAAAAGGACAACTCCTAGGTCTCTGGCGTGAATGATTAGCTGGGGGGTGATGTCATTTCCTGGGGGCAGGGGATATGTGTGCAGGTTCGGGGGAGGATGGCTGAGCACAGCCTGAATGCCTGTATCCAAACACTAGTCTGGGGCTCACCCCCGCCATTCCTGGGACAAGTTACTAGGGCTGCCCAGGAGTTGTCTCTGATAAGTAAGAGCTCATGTCTACATTGCTGATTGTTCAGCCCACCTGCCGTCTTTCCATCTTTCTCATGATTGGAGACAGTATTGAGATTGTGCTTCATGACCAACCGCAGGCACTGTTCTTCCTTTCCAAAAGTCTGCTGATGAGGGGGAAGACAATGGAAAGTTTGGTGTTCATGTCTCAGGGGATACCTTTATATGTTTTATCTGTTTTGCCCAATACCTCATGTGTTGATCCTTATTCATTGCAAAGATCTGTTTTATAATTGTAGGTAACATTGAGAAGTCATCTCTTCCTCCATAATAAACCTCTTAAAGTTAAAAAAAAAAAAAAAAAAAAAAAAAAAAAGGTGTCAGACACCCTCTGCTGGTATAGCACAATCATTAAGAGCATGGCTCTGGGCCCACCTCCTGGTTGCTGTGGCCCACTTGGGAAAGTGCGGTGCTGATAACACCAAGGCCACAGGTTCGGATCGCTATATAGGGATGGCCGGCCCCCCCCCCCCGGAGAGCGTGGTGCTGACAACACCAAGTCAAGAGTTAAGATCCCCTTACCGGTCATCTTTAAAAAAAAAAAAAAAAAGGTGTCAGACACCCTCTGCTGGTATAGCACAATCATTAAGAGCATGGCTCTGGGCCCACCTCCTGGTTGCTGTGGCCCACTTGGGAAAGTGCGGTGCTGATAACACCAAGGCCACAGGTTCGGATCGCTATATAGGGATGGCCGGCCCCCCCCCCCCGGAGAGCGTGGTGCTGACAACACCAAGTCAAGAGTTAAGATCCCCTTACCGGTCATCTTTAAAAAAAAAAAAAAAAAAAAGGTGTCAGACACCCTCTGTTGGTATAGCACAATCATTAAGAGCATGGCTCTGGGCCCACCTCCTGGTTGCACAGCCTACTGCATGACCTTGGACCTGTTACTTAACCTCACAAGACCTCAGTTGGCTCATCTATAAAATGGGGAGATTGATTCTATGTACCGTAGACTTGTTATGAGTACGAAATGAGCTGAAAGATGGAAAGCACCTAGAACAGTTATTGTCCCATAATGGGCCCTGAATAAATTTTGGAGTCAGCAGCCCACAAGAGCTGCTTACAGATTTTGCAGGGTTTTGGCACCCCTTGCTTTTTCCCTCTGCATGCTCTGACCCCTCTCTCTCCACTCAGATTCTCGTTCCGATCAGGGAAGCAGACCTAGATCGAAGGCCACAATGGAGAGAACGGCTGTGACTCATGAAGCCAACACACCAAGATGCCTTCCAAAACCATCTCTGTGCCATACCTACACACTTTGCTTGCTCATTTGTTTTATCCTCAAAGCAGCCCAAGGAGGAAGATAAGGTTCTCTAAGGATCACTTTCTCCCTGGCGGCAGAACTGGACACGCTGGAAGGTTTGGCCAGGGCAGGTGACTCAGCACAAAGAAATCAAGAAAGCAGAAGGAATGTGTGGCAGGGAGCACCTCCTGCTCCCAGGGGTCTCCAGCCTACAGACCTGTGTTCTACTGATCTGGTCCCACAGACGATACTGGTCTTTGACATGTAGGAGAAGAGAGAAAAGAAAGTGGGAAAATACAGTGTAGTAGATTGAATTATGTCCCCCCAAAACTCACTGAAGCTTGAATTGTCCCCCAAGTTTAATGTATTAGAAACTTGGCCCCATGGGCCGGCCCGTGGCTCGCTCGGGAGAGTGCGGTGCTGATAACACCAAGGCCCCGGGTTCGGATCCCATATAGGGATGGCCGGTTTGCTCACTGGCTGAGCGTGGTGCTGACAACATCAAGTCAAGGGTTAAGATCCCCTTACCGGTCATCTTTAAAAAAAAAAAAAAAAAAGAAAATAAACTTGGCCCCTGCTGTGACTGTTAAGAGGTGGGAAATCTTATTATGGTAATTGAAAAGTGAGGCTTTGAAGAGGTGATTGGATTGTAGGACCATGCCATAGTGAATGGCTTAAAAATGGTGGCCAGGGGTGTGGTTCTGAGGGCATTAAAAAAAGAGAGAAGAGTCTGTCTCTGTTCTCTGCTCTCTCTGCTTCCACCATCTTGCAATGTGAGACACCTGGGTCACTGTTGCCACTATCAGATGGACTTTGGACTTCGGACTTCCTAGCCTCAGAAACTGTAAGCAATAAATTTTGTTTTCTTTCTAAATTACCCAGTTCCAGGTATTTTGTAATAAGCAACAGAAACGGACTAGTACATATGGTATTGACATTCCAGTGGTGATTTCACTGTTATTTAGTGAATATACGAGTTAGCAAACATGACTTTCTTAATGTGATTTTTGTATTAAAGTAAAATGACTTTTATACTTTCTATAGCTGTTTCAGAGTGGTCTCTTAGAGTTAATATGGTACATGTGGAGTGTATGTGTATGCATGTGTAGATGACACGTATATATATTTAATTGAATCTAAGTGATGCACCATTATTTTGTGTTGCTAAAGAAAACAAAATGCTGCGAATGATAATTTTAACACACTATTGATTTTAAGGGGCATCCTGATTTCAGAGATATTAAGATGTGAAAAAAATGTGCATTTAGGAATCAATGAGATACAGTACATAGAGAGTGGGTGGCTGCACTTTGCAAGGGAAGTAATGAGCCTGCCAAACACATTCCGGGAGCCTGTCTCCTTAGTAAATGACACTGGCTTACTGAACATGTTTCACCTGCTCCATGGATTATCTCATTTGTCCCTCATAACAACTCTCAGAGGTGGGGACTGGTACTGATCCCCCTGTTTACAGATTTGGAAACTGAGACTCTGTTAAAGTACCTTACACGTGGTCATGTAGCTAGGAAGTGGCTGCCCAGGAGGGAAATGCAAGCCTGATTCTAAGGTCTGGGTTCTTAGCTGTGAAGCTCTATGTGCCCAGAATCTCTGAGAAGCACTAATAATGTTAACTCCCACAACTGCATGCCTTGCCCAGCACTATTTTCAGTACCCTGCCCATACTGTCTCACCATACCCCTATGAGACAGTATTATTATTGTTCTTGTGGTACGCCCACGGAAGTTAAAGCATAGTGGGGTGAAGGGATTTGTCCCCACCCAGAAAATGGTAAAAGCAGGACTTGAACCTGAACCCAGGTACAAACTCTACAACACAGGTTTTAACCACGCTGCCTCCCAGAAAGCCATCCTGATAGGGTCATTAGATCAGGGGTTCTAGATTCCTATAACCCTGTATAATGCTGCAACCCTGACTAGGCACTCTCCTCTTAACAGCAGGGAAGAAGAGAAAGGGATTTCTGCACCTTGGAAGTGACAGCCAACTTGGGAAACAAATCCATGCATCCTGACTTCAGAGCCACATGCGGAATCAGTACGAAGGGGCAGGGAGATCACAAGTTAGAGCTCCAGCATGGGGAGGGGCTACAGAGCAGGGTCAGCTCCTGGTACTGGTGTTTGAAATCCACCCTGTGATCAGTCCTCCGGGGCAGCAGCCTTACATCCCAGAGCCCCAACTATGACAGCTGACTCTCTAAACCTAAACCATTCTTGCCTTGATTTCCCTGTCTCCAGGGTGCAGGATGGCCATAAAGTCTAGAAGCAGACGTAAGATTATTGTGTACTGCTATCAATAAGCCATTTAGGTGTATCACTTGCACTTCCAGACTTGGGGGTCACCCTGTATAAATGTTCACCTGCCTCCTCCCTCATGGGGATAGATAGGCCGAGAGAACCTGCTCAGAAAGAAATGCCAAGTTAAGACAGCCCTGGTGGCTCCAGTACCCTGGGAGAAACCCAACAAAGTTACAGCAAGAAATGTTTGAAGAGCAACTCTTGGTAAAATCCAATGCTGGGGTGTGGCTGTTCTGGAAAGTAAGTCCTGCAAGCATCTCTCCTAGACATGGGCCTGGCGTGATCACAGATAACAACTGTGGTCACTCCCACACTCCCAGCACCGGAAGGAACAGGCTTACAGGCTGGTTTTCAAGCCAGGTGTCACAAGGCACAAGGAGTGATTGCTTGTAGCAATAATATTTTTAAAATGAACAAATGAGGATAACAAGGGTAAAAAACAAAATAAAAACGTTTTGGAAAACAGGAATTTTTTCTAGAAAACAAGACCAACTTAAATCACCTTTCACCTGACATACATATTATTTTTGTCTAACATTTTAGTTTTTTCTTTTTATTAAAATACCACAAATTGGACCTTAATAATATTTTACAAAGATAGAATTTAAATATATATGTTTGTTTAGAATATTCTTTTCTTTGTGTGTTAACATTAATATTCCATTTTCTTCTGACATGCATTGTTGTATTTAAAGTATATGTAGTTATTCCGGGCCGGCCCCGTGGCACACTGGAGAATGCGCAGCTTGGGAGTGTGGCAGTGCTCCCGCTGAGGGTTCGGATCCCATGTGGAGACTGGTTCCCGCTCACTGGCTGAGCACGGTGCGGGTGCAACACCGAGGGTTGCGATCCTGTTGCCGGTCCCCGGTACGGGCGCGACACCGAGGGTTGCGATCCCGTTACCGGTCAGTAAAAAAGACGAAAAAAAAAAAAAAAAGATCCCCTTACTGGTCATCCTTTAAAACATTTAATAAAAAATAAAATGGGGCCGGCCCCGTGGCATACTCGGGAGAGTGCGGTGCTGGGTGTGCGGTGGCGCTCCCACCGCGGGTTCGGATCCTATGTAGGGATGGCTGGTGTGCTCACTGGCTGAGCACAGTGCGGGCGACACCAAGCCAAGGGTTGCGATCCCCTTACCGGTCACAAAAAAAAAATAAAAATAAAATGAACAAATGAATACAGCAACTAGATATCAGAATGTGGAGGTACTTATTAGCTATCAGTCCTGAGCACTTGTACACAGTGAATGGCCAAAACCACCCACATTTTTAATCCTAATATTGATTATTGAGGATTATCTATATGCAAGGCACTAGTCCAAGTGCTTCTTATGTATCAACTCATTAAACCCACCCAATCATCTCAAACGAGAACTCTTATTGTGTCCACGATAGAGGAGGAAACTGACCCATAGGAAGTTTGGGTACCTGCCCAAGTTTATACAGCTGAGTGGACTGGAACCAGAGGTCCTGTTCCAGGGCCTGTGCACGTGGCAACCAGGCCACATTGTCCCCTCCAAAGTAAGGATATAGTAATATAGGATGACTGAATCCTCAGGACGCCCCAAGGCAGGTGGGCAGAGACCACTCCTATCTGATGGACAAGTTTCAGAGAGGGCAAGTGATTTGCCCAAGGTCACGCAGCTCATAATTGCTTAAAGCTGATACTGGAACTGGATCTCTTGCATCTCAACCAAGGGCTCTACCCACAGCCCCAATTTGCCTCAAGTGCCTAAATACTGGGACTAAGGCAACTAATAGCCTATCAAGAGTGGGCAGTGGGGCGTATGGTGGAGACAGACATCCGAGTTGATAGGAGGGACTGTCAACATGAGAGGCACATTTGATGATTCTGAGATGCCTACCTGAGAATCACATCTAGTAAATTACAAACAGAAGCAGTGACAATATAGCAGCTAAAATTTACCACACTTACTGTGTGCTAGTCATTGTTCTAAGATTCAATGTACATTAACTTTTCATCTTCGCAAGCACCCTGACCCCCCTCATACAGATGAGGAAACTGAGGAACTTGGAGTTCTTGGGAACATGCCCACAATCATATCAACAAGACTTTCTGGCTCCCCAGGAGGACATTCACCACAGCTTAGACTCATGCTGGCATGTGACTCTTTTGTAAAATACAACAGAAAATCAACCCCCTTTTCCTACCTCTGCCTTATAAAACAAAGACAACGCAGGTGGCCTTGCCTGGCAATAAATATTTTAATTTTTCTTGTTTCATTTTTATGATGACAAATAATTTTCAAGTTTATTTCCTTTTTTGTTTAAATACAAAGCTAAACCACAAACAGGTACAACCAAGACATTTGATCTCACATTTATACACTCCTGTCGGATCCTCCTCGAATTCACTGACCACTGACCAGGCTAGCGTGGGGTGAGGGGAAGACTTTCTTAGGTAGCACCGTCGCGAGGCCGGGGGTGGGAGAATCAAGGACAAGGATAGGCTCTCATACCTGTCTCCATTCACATTTACCTGGGACTAGGGTACGCAGGAGACCCCAGTTCATGGCTCCTGAGCCCTGGCCCCCTGCAGGTGAGCAGTGGGTAGGAATTGGTCCTCCTTAGGGAGGGAGGAGGAAGCCACCTATTTCTTCTGCCATTATGGTCAAGTTGAAAACTTTAGCCTTATCCTTGATCCCTAGGCCACTGGGCCCTGCCCGCTCCTCTGCACACCTGGGGGCCCTTCTTTGAGACTGGTGGCAGTGACTGGGGTGGGGGGGTCCTGGGCTTGCAGGCTCACGCTTCAGTTCATGGCTGCATCTTCACAGGAAGGACACCAGGTGGTCTGATAAGAAGGCCCTGACTGGCAGGTCTGGAACTTTCAACCCAGCAGAATTGAGGTATGGGGGATGGGATGAGGGGTATCGGGTAAGTAATTTCTGGTCCCACTACAAAACTTTATTTTTGATTAGAATAGAGTACCATCTCAAATCTCTTCTACAAAAAAAAAAAAAAACGCAGCCACTTCACTCACTTCAAGACCTATATACATGTAAGTTGTTTTCTGTGGTTTTTTTTTTTTATTATTTTTTTTGTTTTTTGGATTTTTATTATTTTTTTTTTTAAAATAAATTCAGTGTTCACATTTCTATAAAGAATTAACCCAGTTTCAGGAAACCCTGCCCTGGCAGGGGAAGGGAAGCAATGCTTTTCCCTGCCCACGACTAGTTTGATTACCGGCCCTGATGCTTCGAGGTGCCCAAAAAAGCGGCAGCCCGTGGAAGAGTAAATCTACGCCCGGCCCGTGCTCACGGGCCATGGGGTCAGTAAGCTTTCGAGAAAGCAGAGGGGAAGACTAGCTTACTGCGAAACCTTGTTTAAAAAATAGTCATACACTTCAATGTGCGCCTGTCGAGACGTTGGGAGAACAAGAGCTTGGAAACATCCCGTCCAGGCCGCTGGGAGGCAGCGTCTTCCCACACCCTCCTGCCCTCAGGCAGACGGCAGGTGTGGGGGAAAGTCCTGGCTGTTCAACTAGAGGCAGGAGACCCGCCCGGCTTCCTAGTTCATGTTTGATTCTTTCCTCTAAAACCTGTGCTGAGTCTTTGACTGCATGCACGGAAGCACAAACGTTCGACTTGTATGCAAAAAAGGTACAAAAACAACTAGAATATAAAAGTTTTGGTAATATAAGGCCATCTGTTCAAGTCCACCTTGGAAACCTGTAACAGATATTTAAATACTACAGTGAAAAGGCATCTTAATATACTTTTTAAAAACATCTGAAGTAATCCGCTAAGATTAAGTGTGTAAAAAAAAAAAAAAAAAAAAAAAATCAATTCCCTTTGAGGGCACTTTGTCCTTTGCAGAAGGGAAGGTGGGGTGGGGAGGGCGGCAGGCCAGCCGGTTAATGCTTCAGCCATGGGTAGGCTTCAATGGAGGCCTTGCTGCGGTCCCCATAGTCATACAAGAGCTCCTCCCCGGCCTCGATGTCTCGGGAGGCGATGAGGATGAGGTGAGGTACGCCATCGATGTCGTGAAGTTTGGTTTGGCAGTTCCCACATTTGCTGTGATTGATCAGTCTCCCAAGGCGGTTCGTCTCTCTAGTTGCATCCACGCTGGGGGGAGGGAGGGCAACGGAGGATTTAATTGAAAGACATTCTTTTTTTTTTTTTTTTTTTTTTTTAAA